TGCTATTATAAACTAGATTAGTGGATAATTCAGCAGTAAAATGTAATCTATAAAAATCAAGAGTGCACAGTATACTTGTATAAAATCTGAACATTTAGTGAAAAAAACATTTAGTGGGGAACAAATAAGAGACAATAAGTGTAACACTAAATCTGGTAAAACGTTACACATTGCTCTTTGTATTGTTGTAAAATATATTCATGAAAAACAAGATAACAAAAATCAAAAAGATAAATTATTTTATATATAGCCTAAAATTGAGACATGTTTTAAATGTATAGCACAGCTGTTTAATAAGGTAGGAACATATGATAGATAGGACAGAACAAGAAAGGCTATTAATAATCTTTCATTGCGTCACTGTATTATGATATGAAAGGCTCCAATACATTGCGGCACACAGCGCTTATGCGCATCCCGAGCGCAGAATGATGTGCTTGAAGCAACATGGAGTCACAGCGCGTCGAGTCCGCAATGAAAAGTTCAAAGCACAAAGGAAATACATATTGATGCGTAGTGTATTATACAGTATCTATCTATGCAATCGTTTATTGAGCCTTTTCTTTTAATAGTTTTAAATTTCAGTTAGCCTACTGTGCGCGTGAAGAACAATTATAGTGCTCTACTGTACTCCATTGTTGTGATCTAAGAGACACATGACCCGGTAGAAAGTAACATGATTAAGTTACAGCAATAAAGTCCAGCAAGATAAAATTGTTTTATGCGAAACCATAGACCTTTATCTACAGATCAAGTATACTTGAGTATACTCAAGTATACAGTACTCAAGTATACTCAAGTATACAGATCAAGTTGACTGTAGTAACCGAACGCGACGCGCTGTTTGAATGCTGAATGAAGAATGATTGACAGATTGACGGATGGAAAAGTTTACGTGATCTTGAATTTAATGACTTAAACATTCATGTCTATCTCACATTATAATATATAATGGCTTCAGAACACTTATAATATAGTGCACGAAAACTTTATGGTGCTTTATAATGTTTTTGTGCCTTCTGTTGGGCTTAACAATAACACAGAATATATACGCACAATATCGGATTTGGATCGGGCTCTTCTGAACGATACCCGATCCGGCAAAAATGGCAGTATCGACCCCGATACCCGATACAAATATCGGATCGGTGCATCCCTAGTTTTAGGTGAAGGGGTGGCAAGTCCAGGCCTTGAGTTTACACAACTTAGTGGGCTGTATGAGTCTGCACAATGGTTGCATTTAAAATGTCTTGCAATTAATTCCTGACATTATTTTATTTTTTGTATTTTGCATGGCCATTGTTGAGTGTTACCCAAAAAAAAACATTTATACCATTAAGTTTGGTTTTACTACCCTGTACATTGAATATAAGGTCTGTTAATTCACACTAGGGCTGGGCTATATAGATAAAAAAAAATGTCTATATAATCATAGCCTTTTTGATAATGTACTGTATATCTTGTATTCATATACAGTTGCAATCGAAATTATTCAAATCAGGTTTATTGCCAAAATGTACAGACTTTCAGCTGTTTGCAATGAACAAATCAAACAAAAGTAATTAAAATAGCTCAACAGATGTTTCAAGTGGTTTCCCCAAATTTAACTGAAAATGCAACTTTTAATGACTTCTGCAGTTTCAAAATTATTCACCCCCTTGAGTAGAATCCCTCACAACAGCACAAATCTGCAAAAAAGGTGTTATCTCAAGCACACCTGATGCAACTATTCAATGGCTTCATTAGTTGCACCAGGTGTGCTTGAGCTAGAACATGAAATATCTGAACTGGCTTGGTTTGTTGAGCTTCACGTTTGACTGCAAGTTAGAAATATGGCTAAGTCAAAAGAATGGTCCAAAAAGGTAAGAGAAGATTTCATCGCCCTTCACAAACAAGGAACAGGATACAAAAAGATAGTGAAGCCACTAAATGTTCCTAGAGACACAGTTGGAAGCATAGTTTGCAAGTTCAAAGTTAAAGGAACAGTGGTTACACTACCTGGACGGGGCAGTAAAAGGAAGCTATCAACGGCTGCAACCAGATTTCTGAGGCAGGTTCAGAAAAACCCTCGAGTGACTGCAAAAGACCTTCAGCAAGACTTGGTGGCAACAGGCACTGAGGTTTCAGCTGCACAGTACTAAACGCATGCCAGAACTCCACGACGTAAACCACTACTACCCCAAAAGCACAAGAAAAGTCGGCTCCAATTTGCTCAAAATCATACAAATAAGCCACAGAAGTTTTGGGATTCTGTTCTTTGGAGCGATGAAACAAAACTGGCACTTTTCGGCCCTATGGATCAGCGGTATGTCTGGAGGAAGAAGAATGAAGCATATGCTGAATAGAACACTGTGTCTACAGTTCAGCATGCCATGGTGGGGCTCGGTGATGCTCTGAGGCTGCTTTGCCTCCTCTGGCACTGGAAACCTGTGGAAGGCAAGATGGTTTTATTGAAGTATCAGGGAATCCTAGGAGAAAACGTAATGCCGTCAGTGAGGAAGCTGAAGCTTGGTCGTCATTGGACCTTACAACAGGACAATGATCCTAAGCATACCTCAAATTCCACCAAGGCTTGGTTTCAGAAAAAGTCCTGGAAGATTCTACAGTGGCCATCACAGTCACCTGACTTGAACCCCATAGAAAATCTCTAGTGAGATTTGCAGCACGCAAACCCAAGTATATTACTGAGTTGAAGGCCATTGCTCATGAGGAATGGGCTAAGATTCCTCAGAAACGCTGCCAGAAGCTGGTGTCTGGTTAAACATCTTGTTTGCAGCAGGTCATATCAGCAAAAGGATGTTCTACTTAGTACTAAAGATGCTTGCCATGAAGGGGTTGAATAATTTTGAGACTGCAAAAGTCATTAAAAGTTGCATTTTCTGTTGAATTTGGGGAAACCACTTGAAACATTTGTTGTGTTGAGCTATTTCAATTTCTTTTGTTTGATTTGTTCATTGCAAATTTTGCCAATAAACCTGTGGGGGTTGAATAATTTCGATTGCAATTGTGTTTGTATATATATATATATATATATATATACTGTAAGATGGCTTAGTCAAGATCTGTTTTACAATGTTTTTACACAAGAAGTAATTATATGCATCTATAGATCAATTCATTATGATAAACAAATAAATAATAAAAAGTCATAGTAATGATCACAATATTGCTTTTATTAATTTTACATTTATGTAAGTGATAAATCACAAACATATTGCAAATGCTCAATATATTGTCCAGCCCTTCCCGCTGCTTGAATGTAATTAGACATTAATGGTGGGTTGCACCAATAAGGATTAAGGTTATATCTAGATTAAATCAAGGTTTATCTAATTATGTTGCACCAAACTTTAAACCGTTTAAAAATAAGCAGGTTTAAATTTAAACCATCATTTTGATCCTGGATTTAGTTTATATTTAAGATAGATTAACTTTAATCCTGTTGCTCCATAACTTTAAACTCAGATTTAAATCTTATTTAGGGATTAGGTTAACTTTAAATTTACAGGTGGTGAGGTTTAAATAAAATAAGGCTGCCCTGACTCGTTTCTCATGTAAAATATTTTTATATTTTACATGTTCATAAACTTTAACCTCTATAACTTTTCATAACTGTTACCTTCTACAATAATCTGACATTTTGCTTGTAAAAGATCCCAAACTTAAATCTGTGCTTCAAAGTATTCTAGACTTATAACAGTTAAGTTGTCTATGCTCAAAAAGTGGGACTGACAGTTAACAGGTTAAACAGTTTTGTTTTCACAAACTTTGAAAATAAAAAGTTGTTAAACTCAGCAGAAAAAACTCAGCAAGACACTGGCACTTTCAGGACTACAGTTGAAGAGCTCTGACATACAATAAAGAAATGTTATTTTGTGTCTGTACAGTTGCTTTTGAATAGCTGCCTATATGGGTCAAATTGACCCACGAACATCAAGATCATATAAAAATTTCTGTTTGCACATTTCACTACACATCGGCATGTTGAAACTTTGCATGCATGTTCATGACCCTAAATGGGAAAAAGTCACAAATATCAAGAAAAACAATTAAATAGTGGTTAGCTGGTATTTAAGATGGCTTGAAAAAAGAAATGATAGCTAATTTTTACCATCTGTGGCTGGCAAAATATTGTTTTCCTTATTGAAACAAGTGGGAAAAGCTCCTTTTTAGCTTCATAGGGCAGTAAAAAACTAAAATAACTAAATATAACCAAGAAATCTTATTTTGGGTCTTTACAGTTGCCTTAAAACATTAAAATATGTTGGTCAAATTGACCCACAAACATCACAAAAGCAATAGAAATCATGTAATTATCAGCGTGTTGAAACTTTGTATGCCTGTCCATGAGCCTAAATGAGAAAAAGTCACAAAATTTTAAGAAAAACAACATGGGTTAAGTTAACTGGTTTTTCTGACAACTCAAAAATAAAAATGGGACAAATTCACCCATATGTTTAAAATTAAATGGGGCAACACAACTCGTTTTAAAATAAAACCCAGATCAACAAATCCTTGATTCCCTCTAACCTTTTCTTAATTTAATTCTTATTGGTGCAACCCACCCTTAGATTCTTTAAGCATGTAATTTAATTTTTATCAACAGTATAAACACATGATTCTTTTACATTCTGATTAAAGTGTCAATTCAGAGTGGCATGAATACTGATTGATGCATGTCCCACAATTAACCACAACCTCAGTTGTACACTATTTTACAGCATCCAGCAGATTTGGTTGTGCTTATTGCTTAATGTCTGTCCCTCATACCTGAAAAATAGCCTTTTTAGATGTGTCAAAACAGTTGAGCAAATATATAATATGACTGTTTGGATGCTAGAATATTCTTGAATAGTCTGTCTCTAAAATATTAAAACAGTAAGACTTGTTCTATGTCTTGTTATCCTGACATACATTTTATCAAGCTCTAGGTGTCAATGGCATGCTGTGATCCCGTGTGTGTAAGTGTTGGACCATAACTGTATGTGTTCTGCTATCAGGTGAAGGTCATGACCGACAATGAGCTGCTGGGTTATGCCTGTGAACAGTTCTTGGGCAAGACAGTGGCAGAGATAAAAAGTGTCATTCTGCAGACGCTGGAAGGTCACCTGCGCTCTATTCTGGGTGAGTGATGCTGGACACTTGTGTCTATCTCCAATAGAGCGCACTCTTATCCTCACTGTGAAGAGTTTAGACAGGGTGCACAGTTAGTGCTAGATCCAAGCTCTTGCCAGATAAGCAGCATAAATCTTTAAACAGATCATTGGGACATTATGTATTAAGTCTCAAAGCTTACTCTCCTTGTTCCTTGTGTTCTTGCAGTGCATTTGAAAAATTGATACATCCTTTGTATGATACCGTACATACTTACTGTAGCCTTTGGTCAATTTCCTTGAAGATGGAGGAGTAAGGAAACAAGAAAGCATCACATGTTTCACATTCTCACTGACCTTATTTGCTTGTGTTCATAGGGACTCTGACTGTGGAGCAGATCTACCAGGATAGGGATCAGTTTGCCAAGCTGGTGAGGGAGGTGGCGGCACCTGATGTGGGCAGGATGGGTATTGAGATCCTAAGCTTTACTATTAAGGTGCTCTTACATTAATATGTATATATATGTATATATAGAGAGAGAGTTTTTGTTTTACTTTGCTTTTAAATTTTATGCTGTTTTTAACAATCAGTCAATGTCTTTCAAACCCACTGCTGTTGTCAGGGTGATAATCTTGTCTGTTTTCTTCTATTAGGATGTCTATGATAAGGTGGAATATTTGAGCTCCTTGGGGAAATCCCAGACTGCTGCTGTTCAGAGAGATGCTGACATTGGCGTGGCTGAAGCAGAGAGAGATGCTGGAATCAGGGTGAGCTGAAGAGTCACTTTCTAAGACCAGTGTACAAAAAAGGGCCTGAATCTCTCTCTCTCTATCTCTATATATATATATATATATATATATATATATATATATATATACTCTATAGTGTGTGTGTGTGTGTGTGTATATAAGTGTGTATAAGTGTGTGTTTGTAAAATAAATGGTCAGGGGAAAATTGATAATCAGGGTCAAAATACTTTATGAAATATTGGTTTATTTTATGCTGATTTTATACAAGATTAGAAAGTTTTGGACATACAGTATCTACTAGGGGTGGGGGAAAAAATCGATTCTTAGATGCATCGCGATGCGGATGTGGACGATTCTGAATCGATTCACAATTGTCAAAAATCGATTTAAAAAAAAAAAAAAAAAATTTAGATATATATTTATAATAACGTAATATTGACGGAACGCGAAAGACGGAACTCTGAAGCGCGGAAGTGCAGTGGCCGGACCGTCTGTGGCGTGCACATAACAGACGCGGACGCGATGGCTGAGCGCCAAATCCAAACACCCTCCTCGTTAAAAGCTGACGTGTGGAAATATTTTGGCTTCTGAAGTTGAAGGGGGAAAGGAGCTGGACAAGAGCCACACTAGTTGTAAGCTTTGTAGAGTAAAACTAAAATATTTCGGAAACAAGACACATATGAGAAGCCATATGACACGTTTCCAGCCAGAGGAGGAAAAACACTCGGCTGTAACGTTACCGGGCGTTGTTATATTATTAATTTACTACAAATATGCTGCTGCTAGTTCAGACACACATGTATTTTCCTGTTGGTTCTTTGCAATGTTAATAAAATATATTGTACGTTAATTCTTTATGGGTCATTACTTTGTACTTTTAAAGCAAAGTATTTATAGTCACACACACACAAAAAAAAGATTCTGATAATCGATTTAGCATCGAATCGCAGCCCTCTGAATCGTAATCGAATCGAATCGTGAGGTGCCTAGAGATTCCCACCCCTAGTATCTACACTACCATTGAAAAGTTTGGGGTCAGTAAGGTTTTTTAAAATAAATTAATAGTTTTATTCAACAAGGATGAGTAAATTGATCAAAAATGACAGTAAAGACAATGTTACAAAAGATTTCTGTTTCAAATAAATGCTATTCTTTTGAACTTTTGAACTATTCATCAAAGAATCCTGGAAAAAATATCATGGTTTCCACCAAAATATTAAGCACCAAAAACTGTTTTCAACATTGATAATAATAAGAAATGTTTCCTGAGCACCAAATCAGCATATTAGACTGATTTCTGATAGATCATGTGACACTGAAGACTGTGTAATGATGCGGAAAATTCAGCTTTGACAACACAGCAAATTACATTTTAAAATAGATTCAAAAATAGAAAACAGTTATTTAAAATATTATATAGTAATTATTTTTGCTATTATATAATAATTTTGATGTGTGATGACTTCAAAATTAAATGACAAAATTTAGAAAATCAAAAGTACTGCAGAATGGGTTGCAAATAGAGCCAAAATGAATAGGGGGCTGGCTAGTTTAAGACCAACTGTTGGTTTGAAGTTAGTTATTGATAAATGAATACAGCAAAAAAAAAAAAAAAAAAAAAAAAGTGGTATTTAAAATAAATTAATAATTGAAAATAGTTTTTACTACAGTTGATATCAATTCAACAGATGGCAAAAATGTTAATGGGGCATCAAATTGTGTCCTATTCTTATGGCGCTTTTCCATTACCAGTACCAGCTCGACTCGACTCGACTCGCCTTGGCTCGCCTCGACTCGGCTCGCTTTTCGCTCCGTTTTCCATTGCAGAAAGTACCGCCACAAATAGTACCCGGTCGTCATAGCGACGCATTTCGTTCCTCGTTGCCCCATCAAGCTCTCGCTGGATCCTCTCTTCGGCAACCAAACAAAGGAATGTCTGCACCTCCTCGTTTGACCACGGCGTATTCTTCCGAGTTGCCATAATAATAGTAGTAAGTTTAGTAACTATCTCTGGCCAAACTATTTAAAATACTCCATCTGGCGCGTGCAATGATGACGCAGATTCTCCGTGACCAATCAGCAGTCGGCATTGTTTTCACGTCACATTTTAGTATCGGCTTAGCTCGCCTCAGCTCGCTTGGAACCTCGCCGGAGGTGGTACGAAAAAAAGTACCCGAAAGCAGGTACAGGTACAACTTTTACACAGTGGAAAACCAAACAAAGGCGAGTCGAGTCGAGCCGAGGCGAGCTGGTACTGTGTAGTGGAAAAGCGCCATAAGATAGTGGTAGGTTGTAAGCAGGAAATTGAAAGAGTAAGTGGTGTGAAACGTTTTGCTTTTTTCACATCTCTTATTCTCTTGTTACAGGAAGCAGAATGTAAAAAGGAAATGATGGATGTGAAATTCCAAGCAGATACAAAAATGGCCGACTCAAAGAGAGAGCTGGAGATGCAGAAGGCTGCCTTCAATCAAGAAGTAAACACAAAGGTATAAAGCTGAGTTATTCCTCCGGTAATTTTAAGATCAATCTGGGCAATCATTCATGTGATACACACTATATGGCCAAAAGTTTGTGGACACCCAAACACAACTCCCATATATAATCATTCTTTCTTTTCAGAAAGCTGAGGCGCAATTGGCCTATGAGCTTCAGGCAGCCAAGGAGCAGCAGAAGATCCGACTGGAGGAGATTGAGATCGAGGTGGTTCAGAGAAAGAAGCAGATCACCATTGAGGAAAAGGAGATCCTCAGGACAGATAAAGAGCTGATCGCCACCGTGAGGAGACCAGCTGAGGCTGAAGCCTACAAGATGGAGCAGCTCGCAGAGGCAAGGAAGTGAGTAAAAGGAATGAGAGGGAATTAGTGAGTTGCAGGCAGGGGCGTCACTAGGATTTTCATTTTAGGGGGGCTAAGCCCCCAATATGATTTTTAAACAAATTATAAAAAAAGGTAACACTTTAGTTTAGGATCTAAAGATCACTATTAACCATTTTCATTACGATGCAAAGGCACGGTTTTATAATAACTGTGGTCCCAAATGTGAGGCAGGGCAAATAGGGGGGTTCGGGGTCTCCCCGAGAAAATTTTGATTTCTCTGATCTACATATGTGCATTTTAAGATGTTCTGAAGGCCAAAAAACTTGGATAGTGGGCAGCTGACAATTTTTCTCTCCTCATCAGCAGCATCACTTTTTTTCTCTTTGTTTTTCTCTTGCCCTGTCTCTTCCCCTCCTAAAGCTGAGCTTTGACTGATATAGGCTTTTCATTTTTGTCTGTCAGTGAAGAAAGTAAACATAGGGTCAACTGATAGGTTGATTTTGCCTATGAATCATTTTCTCAGACGCGTTTATTTACTGAAAGCTACTAAAGGTAATTAAGTTTATTAAATGCATTCACAATATGTAGGCTACACATTTATTATTGATCTTATGCCTAATACAGGGCCGTAGACAGGGCTTTATAATCACAGAGGTCCTAAATTTGAGATTGGTAGGGGGTTCAAATTTTTTATTTCTGATATGTGCATTTCAAGACGTTTGAAGACCAAAAAAAAGGATAAGAAATAGCTTTAAAACCATGTCAGTGGGCAGATTATTTGTCAATACCTCCTCTCTTCTCATCTCCATCACTCTTCCTTTTTTTCTCAGTCTCTTCCTCCCTTTCTCTTCCCCTCCTAAAGCTGAGCTTTTTTAATTTACTAAAGGCTACAATTTGTATTATATTCTCAATATGTACACATTCATTATTAATCTTGTGCCTAACATGATGAAAACTAATTTGTTAATGTTTCTTGTAAACTAATTATTACATTACATGAGTTACATGAGTGTATAGGCCTATTTTCAGTTCAAAATGGCGAAATTAGACAAAACTATATTAGTTTGCCTGATTATTTTTTGTCATTCGTTTAACATTTATGACCTAAAAAAAGTAAAATATGAAATGTTAAGTTTAGCTACTTACATCTTATCTCGCACTTGACCGTACGCGTTGAGTCCATAGACTGTAAAAAATGGTCGTGTCGCACTGTTAAGATTCGCGCTCAGCAGCGTCTGTGAACATAAAGCCCGCCTACTTTGATTTGATTGGTCGTCTCTGACATTGACGAGCAGTGACAGACCAATGAGGCTCAGATGAACACACAAATGAACACACACACCCTGTCCTCTGTTTCTGACGTGCTCTCTGCACGGCGCAGCTGTGGATTGAGAACGTGCTGAATCTGATTATAACAAGACTGAAGCGAACACGAATTTGTGTAGCCTACATTAATCTCACATTTTTAGGGGGGCTTGGCAGAAGTTTAGGGGGGCTGAAGCCCCCCTAAAAAGGGCCTAGTGACGCCCCTGGTTGCAGGAAAAGAAAAGGAGACTGTTAAAGGTGAGAGATGTGGTTGTCCTTATTTAAAGATGGGGAAATTGGTATATAGATACTGCGATACTCGCAGCAAAGTTCTTTTTCATTCTTTTTCATTCATTCAGGGTGTAAAAAGAACTTTGAAATACCTGAGCAGCGATTTACTGTTAGCTAAAATCCTGACGCCGCCCACACTGCTGCATATGCGCTTTCCTCTCAATAACAAAATAAACGCACAACAAAAGTGACAGCGGTGAGAATAGAGCGGTTAAGAAATCATCTAATCATAGCGATGTGGATATGTTTGTACAATCTGCAATTCAACACTCCAAAAAGTCACGTCAATTTTATTTTTAAAGCACTTTATACAATAGATTGCTTTAAAGCAAACAGCTCTATATTATTAATCATGAAAAATAGTGTCAGTGCCTCTTTCAGTTAGAATTACAACTTCAATTTCTGCTTCAAGGCAGCTCTCCAGTGTCTTCATGTTTTAACTCGCGTCTGACCTCGACGGACTGAACAGAAGAAATGAACTTGGGAAAATTTCCATGTTAAGTAAGGCAGAGCTGCAAAGCCAAACCTATCTACCAATGTTAGTTCAAAGGAGTTTAGCACTCAGAGTAAACGTTCGCTTCGGCAAGCTGCTTCGATTCGCAAAGCAAACTTTGTTTCGGCCTGATTTTGTTCGAAATGACGTCATAACAGTTCATTCTTCGATTTCACTTGAAGTATATCAGGGCCTTGAGGGAATTCCATCCATGTAAATCAGATAAGAAAGGGAAGGGGAAGAACAGAGGCTTCAGGAAGTCAATCTGACTTCTGCTCCTCTCTGTCAGGATGAAGAAGGTGTTGACGGCACAGGCTGATGCGGAGAAGATCAGGCGTATTGGAGAAGCAGAGGCCGGCTCCATTGAGGCTGTGGGTAAAGCTGAGGCAGAAAGCATGAGGCTCAAAGCTGAGGCCTATCAGCAGTACGGGGAGGCTGCAAAGATCGCCCTCGTCCTGGAGGCTCTGCCAAAGGTGTGTAGAAGTCTGACGAAAGAAATGTGTGGGATTAAATTACTGCTATATTTTCCAACTTTTTCTGCTTTCTTTTTTAGACCTGTCCAATACTACTAATATTTAATAACACTATTCTTAAGTCTCAAGAATAAATATATTTTGCTGTGTTAACATGTCAGTGGCTGAATTTGTACCATCACAGATTGCTGAAAAGGTGTCAGCACCCTTGGCCCGTACCAATGAGATTGTGATCCTGAGCGGTGACGGTGGCCGTGTCACTGGGGAAGTCAATCGTCTGTTGGCTGAACTGCCTGTTTCTGTCAACGCCCTCACAGGGGTGGATCTGTCCAAGGTGAATACAAATATTTCATGTATACTACCTGTTTTAAGATTTTAAAAAAATGTTTTTCAAATAAAGGCTGCTTTTATTTGATCAAAAATACAGTAAAACAGTAATATTGTAAAACATAATTGCAGTTTAAAATTATTGATTTCTATTTTAATATATATATTAAAATGTAATGTATTCCTGTGGTGGCAATGCTGAATTTTCAGCCTCATTACTCCAGTCTTCAGTGTCACATGATCCTTCAGAAATCATTCTAATATGCTGATTTGCTGCTCAAGAAACATTTCTTATTATACCAATGTTGAAAACAGTTGCTTATTATATTTGTAGAAACTGTGATGCATTTTTACAGGATTCTTTTTTAATATAAAGATTAAAATAACAGCGTTTATTTGAAATATAGTTTTTTTTTTGTGTGTGTGTGTTTTACTGACCCCAAACTTTTGAACATTTATATTTTGCCTTATATGTGTGTAGCTTTTGCAGTAACTGCTAGGCCACAGAACAGGGAAAAAGAGCTAAAGGCTAAAGCCTGATCACTTTTTGCAGAGATGAAACAGAATGAGTGAATGAATAAGTAAAATATATTATGTTTTGTCAGTATAAACATAAATAAACGTGTTTCTCTACAGATCCCATTGCTGCAGAAAATGATCAACCCTCAAGCTTGAACTCTTCTTTCACTCTGCTGCCTTTCCAACACTCCCACATCGATTGCCTTGAAAAGAAACATTTGAAAGCTCTTTTCTTTTTAAAATGAGGAAATTGAGGATTTTATTTTTTTAGACCCCTGGTGCCTTACCTCTTCAGGACCAGATTCTCTGCATGTGCTCTTGTTTTATCACTTATATCCTTTTCTGTCTGTTTATTTGACATTTTTTCTGTTTAAACGATGTACCTCAAAAAAGATTATTTTGCTAATCACAGAACGATTTCATTCAAATTTGCTAGTGGGCAGCTCTATGTGTACGTAGTTATTTAGAAGATAAGTATGTATTGCCATTTTGATGGGTGGCTAAGATTGTAATCACAGTAACATTTATGCAGTGTATGAAAATATATAGACGTATAGTGTAGAAGAGCCATTAGGTTTGTTACAGCATGTTTAGTGGATTGATCAACTGGGTCATCATTGTGAAGACTTTGCTGTTCAGGTCAAATAGTGACACACGAGTGAGAAGGACTGACTTTTATTTTATCTAACCAACACATTTAGATGTACATCCATTTGAAAACATCTTTTTGTACAGGTCAAACATTAAGTAATTTCATATTTTTTTATAGTGGACATGAATGATCGTTCTGTTGCTTTTAAAAAAAATGTGCTTTAGGGTTCTAGGTCAGGTCACATATTCACCATGTAGTCCTTCATGTGGAACTACTCCATGTGATTCATTATAATTTCCGTATGTATATTCTTTGATAATGTTTAGCCTATTTTTGGATGTTAAAATGTGGTCCAAGTGCATTTTTACTAAGATGCCAAGCATAGGCCAAACGTGCTGAATCAGCAGGATATAGGAAGGTATCTTTATTTTTTCATCACAGAAAAGTTACCTCACCCACTGTTTATGCAGATGATAAAGCTTTGGTCCTCTTCTATTAGCTGAAAGTAAGATATTATAAACCTTGTCTTCAGCCAAACTGACAGTACAGAATCTACAAGTTTAGAGATCGATACATTACACGCTGTGCAATTAAAGTTGAACATCTACCATCTCCATAGTTTTATTCTGCATATCTCCATATGACAGGACCTCCTCTTTTTTATTTATTTTTTTAACCACAATATCAGAAAATGTCATATGCATTTTTTGGTTCCTTAAGTACTAATTATCAACATCCAGATAATGTGAGAGCTCTGTCAGATATATGTGAATTTTAACTCTTAACTTTTTTTTCTGTTTTGTTTTATTTTATTCTGATTTTCAGCTTGCCATTCTGTCATACACAATAGTTTGCCAAACATCGGTAGGTCAAACAGTATATCAACATTTATTTTACATTGCTGCTGAATCATTAGTTATTGTGTATTTTGATCATACATAGGTAGTAATCTGATGCCAAATATAACAGGGGTTTTTTAACAGTACACTTTGGCAAAAGTATTTGTGGGGGAAAAAGTTCTGTTTGTCAGAAACAAGTTCATTAAAATTGATGTTCAATTTTCATTCTTCAAAATGAAGTGTGTTTGTTGTTTTTGATGTCAATGTCCGTTTCAGCTGGGGAAAATGGAATTATGGTCTGAAAATATAGCCATTGTTTATAAGATGTTGCACACATTTAATCTCAACTTCAGGCAAAAACTTTTCTATGCTTAAACCAAACTAACAAAAGCTGTCGTTTCTGAGCTGAGTGTGTTTGTTCTAGAGTTTGTAAAGTTTCCACACTAACATGTGCTATATAGCAGTGCATATAGTTAATGCCAATATATTGTTGATGAATGAATATGTAGTATACATGTATCTATTTAGGAATCAGTTTCTGATCACAGTCAATAAATTTGTCTTAATTTATTTGTCTTTTTGGTGTGTGAAATTTTTGAGTTTATGGGCTTTGTAAGTCGACTTTACAATGCTAAGAAAAGTTATGTTTGTAATGACTTCAAACAAATGAAAAAACAATGCAGAACACAGTATTTAGGTTTAACCTCTTAACCTGCGAGGGCCCGCCGGCGGGCCCATTTGCCATTGCATGTTTAAAACAATAATATCTTAGTAAAAACCTAAAGTAATATTGCCAAACTATATATCATTTGAAAGCTTAAAATCTCTAGTTTTCATATTTGGTGGCTGTTATCTAAAATAAATTACAGAGGAGCAGTAATTTATCAATTTGCAACAAGAATATTTCATATTCATTAGGAGTATTTAGGCCTTTATTTTGAAATAACAATAAACACGAAAAATCATGAAAGATTGGTAGAAACCTCAGTTTGTTTTCATGCCATGAGTTCAAAAGATAACACCAATTCCATTTTATGAGAAAAAAAGGTCTGAAAATGTTTTAAATATAAAGAAAAATGTATGGATTCTCGATTTCTGATTGGCTGCGAGCTATAACGCTATAACGTAGTCTTTTTATGCATTTATTAGAGGTTGAATTCAAATCAAATACTGCCAAACCACCCATACTACTTCTGAATAAGATGTCTACTTCATAAATTGTATGAAAATTATGGAAATACATGGTTCAGATCACTCAAAACATATGAAAATGGAGGCGCCCTTATATGGGCAGTAATGGAGTCTAGTGAAAAAGTTGGGTACTGCGCCCAAATAAAATCTTACTGAAAGCTCATTTTTTTAATATCAACCTAAAATTTGGAATACAACTTGTTCAGATTTGTGTCTTTAATTTTCTTGCAGTTTTAGAGTAAAATATATTTTGTAATATATATATTTTATATAAAATATTAATAATTATATTTTTACATTACACCATTTCATAAAATCAAACTTATATAACTTTTTTTCTGTTTCATTTTTTATCATTTCTAGACTTCTACAATAATCTGGAAAATGTCTTCTTTAAAACAAGACCAGCCATAGGTCTATATTCCAAAGCATTCCTGAATTACAACCATTTAAGTTTGGATAGTGATTTTTATGTCTATGCAAAAAAAAGGGGGGTGCCAGTTTTAATGTAAAAAAAAAAAAACCCAGAAGATCAGAGATGATTGAGACAGCAATAGTGTGATATGTATCTGCATTTCTTTCAACTTCATGAATTTCAGTCCACACTTCATCTTGCTTTGTAATGTGGCATATTTCCAAGTGAAACTGGATTATCAAGGGGGGGGAGTATGATAGGAATTGTTTGGATAATAAAGAGTGTGTGTTCCATACCAGATGGAGTGGGGCCGTATGACCATTTTGCTACTTGCCAAAGGGTTCCGTTAATTGCAAAACATAAATATGGACATCAGCTACAGCAAACAACCTTATGTCCCACTGAAAATAATATTTACATTCTTTTGTTGGCAAGCCCTCTGTGTTCAACATCTGGTTTGTAAACTAGTGATGCAGAGGGGAACAGATTGAAGCAGTGCAGTCTCTGCTGGACATGAGGCAACATAATGAGGCATAATTAGATGATAACCGATAAACTTCATTTCCCAATCTGCTGTTCACAATAGTATTCAGTTAGTGGTCTGGCACTGACGTAGTCCATCTGTGATCTGTGTTCGGTCTGGCTGTTCAGCATGCTGTTTAATGTGAATTGTTGATCAATGTATTCCTGAGCAGCTGGATAAATCTGCGGGCGGAGGTACTGCTCAGGGTGGTGGGGATTTTGCAGGCCCTTCCCTGCTGGTCCAGAGGCCAACGGTCGAAAATGGATCCTGTTGAGGATGTCGGTGAAGGGTCTCGGATTAACGTAGTCGTAGACTGGGGTCATCTCCAGGTTCCTCAGAACACTTTCAGGAAGTTGCATCCGACTCAGTTTAGGAGGCAGAGGGAGAGGCAGCTCCATGTCAGGATGGGGAGAGGTATGGAAATAAGACTGGAGCTGGATTATGGATCTGCCAGGGGTCTGACAGGCGGGACTGCTGTGGTGGTGGTGGTTTAGAGGGCTGCTGATCTGAGATGGCAGTCGGCTGAGGTTGCTGTCTGCTGTGGAGGACTGGACACAGGAGCTCTGGGCCATGGGCAGAGCTGCACAAAGACTATGGAGGCTGGAGGGTCTGGCTTCTCTGGGACTTGAAAGAAAACATTTATTTGGAAGACTGTCACACCTGCATGTAGTACTTGTCAAGAAAGGGATAAACTGAGATCATTTTGATCTCCAGGGATGCAAACTTTTTCAGCAAAGATCCAGAATAGTGAAGAGAGATTTTTTTTTTTAACTCTATAAAGGTTATACGTTTTATCCCTATATCTCCATGCTAAAATTGACTGTAAATCCACATTTTACAGCTTAGCTGATATTTCGAAAATTCTTCCCCATCGGGGTTTTCATCTTTGCCACACATTTTACCTCTGAATCTCTATAATAAAATGTAATACATGGGTTCAGAGCAAAAATGAGCATTTTACAGTACAACTGCAGCAAAATATTATAGTATGATTATATTGATATTCACTGCATCACACAAAGCTAGACTCACCTGTTCAGGTGTCTGTTGCTGAGGCTGAGAATGGTGTGGGTCTGCTGGGGTGAAGGTCCTCCAGCCGTGCTGAGGCTTTTGAAGGCTGATATGAAAGGGTTTGGGGTGACCGAGGAAGCCACGTCTGAAAAAATCAGGGCACTGCTGCAGTCAACAGAGCTGGACACGGTCACGTCGACATCCTCGTCTTTCTGTGACTGTCCCACTGCTATTGGACAACAGAAAAGCAGAAATAGTGAAACTAAACTTACACAATTTATTTCAAAGAGTCTGTCCAAAGAAAAACAGCTAATTAAATAGTAAGTGAAATGCAGGGCACACCAAGGTGACCCTCATGATTGCCATGAATCCCCTGTGCTGCCCCCTGCTGGGCACCAGGTCATCACAACAGAAACACCAAGCAACACCAATGGGGGAAAAAATCATACCATGCTCATTTGGTGTCAAATCTCGTTTGTCCTGTCCATCTGAATCCTGGGTCTCTTGGGTCTCTTTGTCTCTAAACCTAATGAGTAGAAATTATAAAGGTTATATTGACAAAATATCAGAATTACTTATCAGGGTGAAGGTCATTTCAATAGTCAGGACAGGAAACAATATGTCAATTTTATTAAATACACTATGTACATTTGATTTGCCCTTTGGAATGATGGAAATCTACTAATTTACTTAAACGGTTGAAAAAAAATGACAATTAATCAGCCCTGTTCTCTAAAGGAGACATTTGTAGGTGAATTTTCCTGAATTAAAGAAAGAAATGATAAAAATGTCCAATTGTGACCAATTGTTTCTCACCTTTTCCTGTTCAGTCCATTGTCACGAAAGCCTTTGGCAAAGGGGTTGTTGTCAATCTTGAGTTTTGTGATCTGTGTTGAGGAAGAAAAATAAAGGGTACCATCAACAAAAACCACAGACATGCCAGTTAACACTTATAAATCATACAAAAAAATGGACTAATAGAAAATAATGAATCAAGGGAGAAAAGAGAGACTCTTTGAAGTCTGGCACAAATGTTCATTTTTCAGCTTTCATTTACCGGTAAATTGTTGATATTTTGAGATTAAAATATATATTTTTTTAATTACAAGCATCACGTACTTTTGAACTGGATACTAGATTCTATTATTACTGTATACATTTTGAATTAAGCTACATTGATAAGTCTTTAGCCTCGTGAATTTTAGCCACTAGATGGCAGTGGAACTCCAAAAATAAAAACATCTTTGAAGGCCAGCTCTAAATTTCCTATTTTTTCATACAGTATTCATCACATGTGAAATGTCTCTGCTCACCTCCTGGTTCTGGTAGGCCGTGACGGCTACAAAAGCAGCTTCAGGGAAGGTGAAGCGCAGGTAACCCCCAGGGTTGTGAGGGTTACAGGGGTCTGGAGACTGGACTATGTGTAGACGGGGCTGGTATTTGTGCATGGAGTGGAGAACCACCTAATGAACGTGGAGAGAAACAGAAATATAACCCTGAACACAGAAAAACATTCTTTTTATGAATATGCTTTCTTTATTAACCTTTCAACCAGAACATTTCCCCCATTTCTAAAAGCTCACCAAGCCATTGGAGTTAAGTGTGTTGTTGGTCAGTTTGAGCTTGTG